TGGGGGAAAGTCAGAGAAACCATAAATGGGAAAAGGTTGAAGTGAGATCTTGAAAGGGATAGGTAATTATTAACAATTAGCTATTGCATGCTTTGTATAATTTCAGAGGTACCCGGCTCATCTCCTTTTATAGGTCACTGAAGCCCAGAGCAGTACAGTGCATTACCCACATTCCCCCAGCCGTGTTAATGACACACCCAAAAGTTGCAACTCAATCATTCTAATCCCAAAGCCATTCTCCACAATATCTTTTAAGGTGCATTCTCCATAAACTGCCTCATGTGCCTCCCTGACCCCTGTCACTCCTCACACAAACACTTTTGTAAATGGTTTATGTTTGAAAATTGCATTGTTATCACAATTCACCATGAAGAGTGGGTTCTTATTTTGAGTTTTCCTTTTTAAGTTTACATGTCATACCTTAAAGCAAAATAATCCCCTTATGTGTGTGCATGTGAGTACGTGTGCATGTGCGTGCACACGTGAATACACACACACGCATGCCCACACACACTCATTCACACATACACACTACACACACATCCCTATTTTGCCCTGCCTTTACCTGAGTATTTCCAATCAGAAAGGGAACATTTAAATATAGTGGTTATATTAAATTAGCTTGAGTTTGGTAGGTTAGCCAATGAATTATCTTTGCTAGACTTCTAAGGGGGAGCTGCCAGAGAGGTCACTGTGACACTCTTAGTCTGAGACAATGAAGCATGGGGTATAAATTTAGTTAGAAATGAGGTTAAAGCTTTAGGGAGGTATTGTTTCTTACCAGCATCATTTTCCCCCTTGCTTGAAGTAGTCAAAGTGATTACACAAGACTCAGGTCAGGGCACAGGGACATGGAAGGAAGTATTCTCAACATTTCAACAGTGGCAGTTTTTAATTGATGAAGTTATGGACAGATGCTATTCTAATTCAAAACCACTTTTCCTAACAAATAGAGTTTCTATACTGGCGGGTAGATGTCGGATCAATAAGTCTGTGATAAGCATACCATTTAAAAGTATGCTATATTAAAAGGAAGCTTTTATGTAGACTGCCATAGCATCAGAATTTTAGACCCAAAGAAGCAAGAAAATGCCAGATAGTTTTTTACCTGTGTTTTTTTTCATATTTACTCATTCTTCATACTCTATACATCACTGATTATTATTCTTTTTTGAGCTATTTTGCATGTTAACATAGTTGCCAAACTTTGACTCTGAGGAGAGCAATATTGCTGTCTCCAGAATATTTATATTCAAGGCCTATCTTTTAGACAGTTACATTCTAAACTATGTGTGGTCCTGCATTTTTCACTTAAGATATCTCTTATTCTGCTCTGTGCAAGGTCATTGAGGATTAAAACAAAGTTTTCTCTACCACTATCAACCTTCATTCTTTTTGGTGGATAGATTTTATATTTTGTTTCTCTAAACAAGGGAAAACAGTTATAGTTCCACCTCTTGTGTGCTTCCTCTCCTATGAGTTGTAAGCTCAGTATGTGCACATATGCAAGATTTCAAGTGCAAAAGAGAACAGAGTCGGAAACAGATTTTCACAGTTCCCGTCTGGGTCCTTGTGTAAGTGCCAATGTAAAGCTATTCAGTGATTAGTGAAAAACAGTATAATGTTGCCTGGCTCTAAGGAAACAGCTTTGAAAATCTCAACTTAATAAGCAGATCAATTAGGTGGGGGTTTGGGATTATTGTATCACATTCCAATGGCATGCAGTGTTGTCAAAAACTTTTTTCTCCAAAATAAAAATAAAAAAAGAGGCATAGAGTTACCTTTCAAAATGTCAGGAAAGAGGGTTGGGGAAATTAGTTAGGAATAATGAAAATATATCACATATATCTCAGGAAGCATACACTGTGAGCATCTGGGTATCTCAGGGTAGGGGGTAGATTTCGTGTGGGTAGGGGAGGAGGAAGTTTACCCTGCATCCAAGGAGGTAAATGGATTAAGCTGAATGTCTGGGAAGACGAGGATTGCTGGGTGGAGGTGTGAGACCCAGGGCTCAGGGGTATATCAGATTACTTGCTCCTCAAGTTTTGGGAGCTAATAATAGCTGTGCTTGCATTTCCCTGCAAAGCAAGGGATACCTTCTGGGATAAGTCCTGAGGGAGTCACTCGTAACTATTTCTGCTTCCCTCCCAGTTATTCAGCATAAATATAAGGCCTAGTTTGGGGTTAAATTGAGATTCTTACACATTTCTGTCTCTATCACATTTCTTGCCACCAACTTACAGAAGTCTGAAATTTCTTTAACAAGAGAAAATACTCCATTTGTAGTTAGAGATAAAAGAATTTCAATACCTGTTTAACACAGTGAATGGAATTAGGCTAAACTCAACAGTAATTGGAAACGTATTATGTACCTAATAATAACTAGAAAAAAACAAAGCCAAACAAGTAAGCCTTTCTGACTTCTCTTGAGACATGGGAATTGTACAGTAACTACAATGGAATGTAAGTTTCCTGAGGGTAGAGATCACCCTGTATCTTTCTCAGTTATATTCCCGGCATTTGTCACAGTGCCTGACTCATAACAAAGGATTTTCATTTTTGTAAGTAGATGGACACATGGATGATTAAAGTACCATAAAGACTATTTTAAAAAGTATATACAAAATAAAATGTTGACCGAGAGGAAGCAGTGAATAATTTTGCCCTGGAAGGATGCAGATAAAGGGAGATTTTCTGCATCCCTCCAGGAGATGCAGAACTAGACATTTGAACTCGATCATGAGAGATGAACAGAGGTTTCTCAGAACTTCCAGGATGGTATCCAGCCAGAAGAATAAGTATGTGGAAAGGCAAGGTGGAAAATGACATGAATGTTCAGGGAGCTACAAATGATTTCACAATTCTAGGCACTATGAACCATGGCAGACGAGGATCATATCATGAACGGCCTTCGTGTGTAAGTGACATCACAGATTTGAATCAAGACAGGTGCTGCTGGGAATTGGGGAGTGGACATAGAAAAACAAGGACCATAGGAACTTGTTTCCACCTCACATTTTAAACTGAAGTTAACCTTGCTTCCTGCAATCATACTCAGATTTAGATGCTAATTAGGGAACATTTGTTAGTATGGAAGCAACAGAGCTTGAAGAACTATAACCTATACTGCTCCAATGAGATTTTATATTTTAAACACATATTAAAAGAAAAATTTATCTTTTTAAAGTCACCTTAGAGTCAGATGAATGTGTAACTATTTTCTAAAGGAGCTACCATTTCATAAATGGAATTTCTGCCTGGTTCCTTTAAATAGTGACTTTATTTAGGATTTAAAATATTTCATTTACACATGGCTTTCCAGAGGCTTCAAGGCACACCTGAATGGGTGAGAGTTTCTCTACACTTATGGTGAGGGCAAGCATGACTTGGATTTCTTGTAATACCAGATATGTGCCTTTGTGGGGCAGGGTGTTTCCTTGTTAGATATATAAATCAACCAGAAAGATTGGGTGGGATGGGTACTGTGTTATTTTCTTAATTTAAGGAGAAGATCTGTAATGGAAATTTTATTTAGTTTCTTTGGACTGTTTTCGTGCATTTAGTTTTATAAAATGTATTCCAGTTTTAAGCAAGGAACCCTACATTAATAAAAATTGATTTCTTAAGCTTAACTTCAAATATACTTATGATTTTAGGCAACTTTAGGATCATGCTGAGTGGAAACTATGGAATTGCTACCCTTCCCACTTACAGCTCAACTACCGCTATTGTCATTGTTGTTTTTCCTTCTCCTACTTTCATTCTATTAATTGTTAGATAAAACAACTCCTTATTTTGCATGTTGAGGTTTAATGTATGTTCTCCACTTGATAGAGCATTTAATTTTGGGGGGACGATTCTTAGCCGATTATGTTCAGTGGTTTTAGAATCAGACGTTTGTGGGGAGGGGCAGCAGAATCTTCAGTCATTGATTCTCTCTTTATAACTTTGCCCTTTTAGCTGGAACAGATTACTTCTGTAGTGCTGCTAGCCCTGCACAGACTGAATCACAAGGAAGAAACTTTACATAAACCATTTATACTAAACGTTTGGTATGCTGGCAACATAAATCAACAACAATATCCATTACAAATTCATCCCTTTATCAGTATTATCTTGATAGAACTGATCCCAATGTGTGGGAATTTGTACCCTGCTTCAATACATCTAGCCCTGGATAATTAATTATTCAGGGCACAGAGAACCTGGCCCTTGCAATGTAGAGTAATTCTTCCTGGTCAGCGTTAACTCTGCTGGCAATAATAAATAGAAAAAGTCTCTAGTGATGCCAGTATTTTAAAGTGATTAATCATCTTTCCCCCCTCCTCCTCCCCCTTAGTTTTCTTTAACTAGGATTTTTCAGCAATAAATCTTTAACAATACAGGTAGGAATTGTTCTGTAATTAAATTTTGCCCTGCTTAATTTCTTACCTTTTATGTGTGATTAAAAAAAAGTTACATTTTAAGGAGCCCTGATCAAAATTCAGACCAAGAAAAATCCTTTTACAGAATACTGAGAAATGCTGTAAGGAAGATTAAGCTCTTGATTTTGAATATTAGAGCACATACACATAAAAATACTCATAAAAATTGTTCGTCAACACCAGTTGGGGTGTCAAATACTCTGAAGTTTTGAATTGCTTCACTTTCATGCATACGATTCGTCTGTATTAGGAAAAGCCTGACATATACATATGTTCCAACACTGAGAGAATAATTACTTATTTCTTAACTTTCAGATAATTGATGTCAGCTCTGTAGGAAAGGGATATTTTCACTATTTTTACGGTACGCGAAATGCACTTGCTGAAGTGGCAGGTAGATGCCTGGCTGAGAATGACCGTGTATTTTTAAATCGTGCCCTGTCAAGCCGCCCAGCCATCATGTATATCCTGGGTGACAGGGACACATGTGACATATCTGTTGTGACACACTTCTGTACCACCAGTCTGTGGCTCGAGGTGACTCCTGTCCCTCCCCTGATGCTTTCCCCGCTGCAGGACAACATAACGATGCACGGATGAACCTTGCCATTGCTCTGACTGCTGCCAGGTATGGGGCTGCCACAGCCAATTACATGGAGGTAGTGAGCTTGCTCAAGAAGACAGACCCCCAGACAGGGAAAGTGCGTGTGAGCGGCGCACGGTGCAAGGATGTCCTCACAGGTATGCCAGGTCTCTGGGAGGGAGGTGTTTCTTAGTATCTTGCCTGGCTTATATAATGACTGAATTATAATTTTTCTGTCACTTCTCTTTCATTTAAGCCATGCTTCAGAGTCATATTGATTATATTCCTTATTGTCAACAATGACTGGTTTAATGACATTTCCCTTGTGGGGCTTGGCAATTTTTCCCCTTTGTATTATAGTTGTAATAATGATAATGATAATAATAAAATGCCCACCAGATTCCCACAGCTACGAATGCATTCCATTTTCTTTACAAAAACATATTATTAATACAATTAAATAAATGTGCCAAGTTTCAAAGTATCATTTGGTGACATAGGCATTGCATTTACACACTGTTAAAGTTAATCATCTTTAACTTTATTTAGATTTTCATTATTGCCTTGGCTGTAGCACCACATAGGTAGGCAGTTTCAAAATTATATCGTTTCTTGAACAAAAGCTCTGTGATACACATTTTCTCACAGCGATGCTGCTTACACATTTGAGTTTTCAAGAGAAAGCGGCTTATTTACTCATTCTACTTTTTCATGTTTGGTGCTTTGACGCTGGGCACTTATAAGATAGACTGAAATCCATAATGAGAAAGTGGAATGCTTTTCTTTCTTCAATTCAGACTTGTTTTTGGTAAATTCACTCAGATACGAGCCTTTTGTTCGGCTCTTCAATAACTTGAGCTGCTCAGGTCACTTAGTGTGCACCATAGGTTAAATTAATAGATGAATTAGTGATACACAACATCCGTTAACAGAGAAGCAAATGGGGTGTGTGATTGATGCCACTTTCTTTCACAGGGCAGGAATTTGACGTGAGAGCCAAATGTGTTATCAATGCCACGGGACCTTTCACGGACTCTGTGCGCAAAATGGATGATAAAGACGCAGCAGCTATCTGCCAGCCAAGTGCTGGTGTCCATATTGTGATGCCTGGTTATTACAGGTAACTGTCTTCCAATGTGGCAGTTGTCACCCAAGAAAGAGGGTCAGGAGAGATTGTCTGTGGTTAATTTCTTCTTCTAGCATAACAATAGATGGTCTAACCTGCTGTTCAAAATCAGGAGAAATAAGTAAAGGAACTCTTCCAAAATACAAAATACAAACCAGACTTGGGACGTTTTAGCCACTTATGGCAATACTCATTTCTAAGGGTTAATGCTTTGGGATTTATTTTTCTTTGTTCAGTGTAGTCACCTTCAGAGACTAAGCATTGGTATTTTTGAATTAAACTTTTACTTCAGTCATTAACAGAACTAATTTTGCAAAATTTTTTATAAAGGACGTATTTTAGTTAAAAGAATAAGACATTAATTTTGCAGAATACCCAAATTTGCTTATGAAGAATCTGAAGTTGTGGGCTACCAAGTATTCTTAGGTTTATAACTTTTGAAATATTTTTAAAAAATATAGTAGTAAGCAAAAACCAGATATAATATCTAACCTATCAAATTAAAAAAGATAATTGAGGATGAAGAAATGGGTAGGAGTAGAGATGAAATAATAGCTATTAAATGAAAATCATTTAAACTGGGTGATGGGTACATGCAGGGTCATTAAACTCTTTTTGTATGTGCTTGAAATTTTTAATAAATTACAAAAGAAACATTTGTGTGGTTCTGGCTAAAAAGTAATTACCCATAGCATGCATTTTTAAGTTATTTATAGAAAAAATTCATACGGCCATGCTAAGGGTATAGAGCATGTGTACTGTTTTTATTTCCATATGTGATAAACCTAGTAGGTAAAGTAGTAATTCTATATGACATAATGTCTTACGTGCAACAGTATTCATTATGGCATTGTTTGTAGTTGAGAAATATTAGAAGCTACTTCAGTTCCTCACCTTAGGGTAATAGATAAATAAATTATGGTATAACCACACAAGGGCATATTATATAGTCATTAAGAAATTGTAATTATAAATAATTTTAATGCCCTAAGTAAACACTAATGATACAATGTTAATTTAGAGTGTAGGACTTGATATTTTATATGCTGTAGGTTCTAACAATGTATATATAAAAAGACTGGAAGGAAATACGTTAAATGTGAATGGTGATTATTTCGAGGTAATGTGATTATGGGTGAGAGTTACTTCTTTCCATGTTTTAATGATTTTCCATAAAGGGAATATACAGCTTTTAATATTTGATAAAGTAGATGTGTAGAACCTGTGATATTTTGTTTAATACTTGTATTCTCCTAGAATGCTATCCTGCTATGCCATAGACCATGCTGCCTTTTTAGTTGTTGGTTGTCCGGTAACTAAATCTTCCTGAAGAGTCCAAGGTGTACCTAATTGGTACCAGATACACTTCTGAGAAAATAATTAAAGAGAATTTTTTATCCACCAACTTCCAAGATTTTCTTTGTGTTTTCAAAATGTGTATGTGAGAGAAACAGATAGTCTTTAGGATTTTTACTTTGGACTGGAGACATCAAGGTGCCTCTTAAGGCACCACTGCATAAGATAATAGAAACTTAATGCAGTGGTACCTAATTGAGTTTTTAAAACTGTTAACCAGAAGCTTAGTTCAAATGAAAAGGAGAAAAATAAATATATGTAAATGTCCCATATGTTTCTTGTATGTAGAGAAGTTTTCAACATTAGTTCCAGATGCAATTGTATATGCTTTTGTGTTCAATTAAAAATATCTAAGGCCAGCTAGTTTATGAGTTTTTGTTTTTAAATATCTCTAAGAATGGAGTGTAGATGCAATCATCATAAGTCTTATATTTGTTTAGATTTTACTAGATTCAACATATTCTCATTTGTTGTGTGCCTTATGTTTTCTTCACTATCATCCCATCATGTCAGAAGACACATACTATTCCCCACAGGCCTTATGTTAATTCTGTCATTAAACAATTACATCCTTTGGGACAAGCCATTTTGTTTTGTGAACCTTAGCTTTCCAGTCATTAAAATGGGAAAACATTCTGCCCTTTCAGAGTGCAGAGACAAGGAGATTGTAGGCAGAATTAAAGTGATGCCTTGCTGTAGGACTTCTGGGGTTTGTTCATCACTTTTCCTTGGGCTGTGTGACCTGGGCAAGCTACTTCTTTCAGCTTCTGGTTCCTTATATCTTTTTTTTTTTTTTTTTTTGAGATGAAGTTTTGCTGTGTCACCTAGGCTGGAGTGTAGTGGTGCCATCTTGGCCCACTGCAACCTCCGCCTCCCAGGTTCAAGTGATTCTCCTGCCTCAGCCTCCGGAGTAGCTGGCCTGCCACCACACCCAGCTAATTTTCATATTTTTAGTAGAGACAGGGTTTCAGCATGTTGGCCAGGTTGGTCTCAAACTCCTGGCCTCAAGTGATCCGCCCGCCTTGCCTCCCAAAGTGCTGGGATTACAGGCGTGAGCCACCATGCCTGGACCCTTATATCTTGATAATACCTAACTGGTATAAGGTTTGACAATGATCTTTGGGTTATTTTTTCTCTGTTTAATTATAGACTGCTGTATCCCCAGCTATTGGTACAGTGTCTGGCACATAATAGTGCCTAGTAAATATTTTTTTAATGAGTCCTACTAAATTTTTTAATGTTAACTTGCTTATATTGAGATTGTTGCTTTATTTATATTAAAATTTTAATCTAACATTTATGAACTTTTTAATATGGTGAATTTAAAATATGAAAGTAAAACATGATTCTTCTTCAACTTACTGCCCAGGTAACCCCTGTAGATAAAAATAAATGAATAATGTAAGTACATAACTAGAAATTTCAATCACCATAGAAAAAAATAGAAATATGAAAATGAAAATTGAAAGCCTGCCTCTTATTCCCCCTACCTTTTGTTCCCTTCCTCAGTTCTTCTCTGGTAATTAATAACCTCTTCTCCCAATTCCTTCCATAAAATGTTTTTATAAGCACAAATGTGTATTCTGTTAAAAATTTTGTGTGAAAGTGGTCATGTTACATATATATACTGTTCTATACTATGCTTTATACACTTAGTAACGAGTAGATTTCGTGTCTCTTAAGAATAAAGGTATATATTACCCAGATGTAATATTTTAAACATTCTGAATCCTAAAAATTCAGCATTAGCTTCAGGTCTCCTGAAGCGTGATGGTGTTAGTTACAGCTAGATCTGTCTCAGGCTAAGATGCAGCAAGTGACCTCATTCTATTTTGGGAGAAATTAATATCCCCATTTTTAGCACTGTGAGCTATAACCACTACCTATCCTGTTGGAAGCTTTAAAGGAATGGTCTGCAGCCTAGTTCCCATTCAGGCTGTCTTACAGACGAGCCCCTTCTCTTTGGATTGTGACCTAGATTAAGGGTTCATTCCCTCATTCAGGACTGACCTTGAGGCAACTGTATTTCTAGCATCACGTAGGGGTGGTTTTCCTCTTCCTATCAAGTCATTCTCTTGGGTGATGTTAGGAGATCCCAAACTGAAATGACTCTGTGGTATCATCAGGCAATCATACTTAGCAGCTGTTACTCAACAGTTTTGACTACGTCTTCAGGGATGAACCAAAGCTTCTGGGGCTGCCCCACAACTGGCTAATGATAATTTAAGACCAGGCATGTTTCAGTTAGTACCTGATCCATTTGGAAATGCAGTGAGTTCAGTAACCATTGATTTATTGTGTGTAGGCTGGCAAAGGAAGAGTAAAGAACCATATGTGCAGTGTATCTTCCTGGGCTGTTTTCAGAAATCTCTTTATAGCATTTGTTAATTTTGTTGTAACCTTAACTAATGTTCCACCTGCAGAGTTATCTTACACCATGATAGCAGCTTTTTAGGGGAAGAGGGGAAGAAGGAAAAATTGTTTTAATTTTGGAAAACACAACACAGAAATTTTGAAAGCCACTCTTTATATTAAGAACAAATCTGGAATTTCCTTGAGAGTTATGGCTAGATACTCTTCCAAAAGCAGCGATAATACACCAAATGACTGAAATGCAGAAAATAATCATCTTTGTTTAGCCTACTGATGCTTTTTGCTACTGACAAGAGGTCAATTTTTTTTTCTATAATGTGTGTACATACTGTTAACTCTAACACTGATTGCTAAGTAGTTAACAATAAATTGATTTCAGTTTAACTAAGGGCACTTCAGGAAAGTGATGGTCTGCATGAGAAGAATGTTCATTACATTTAATCCTAGACACACACATAAATTAGCAGCAGGCTTTCCCTCTTGATGTCAAATGAATCGTATATATCGAAAAAAGACCTATGCCTTATTGCATTGTGTATGCTATCACTATAGTTGATATCCATTCTCAAACTTTAGTGTGAAATTGCAAAATTAATCCTTCATGAGAAAACAAACTTTTCCCTAAGGGAGGGTGTGAATTAGGTAATTTAGAACTGATGAAAGATATTTCCAAGTGGATTCTTAAATTTTTATAACATTCATTAATAGCTTTGTCTTCCCTCTGTGCTTGTTAATTTTATGTTTGTCACATATGTCTTCACTTAAGCAGTTGATTCTCTACAGGTTCCAGTTACGTGTGTGTTGGTAACCATCACGTTCACCTTTTAAACTACTTTATTGCATTGAAAGTTTTTAAAGGATTCAGTAGTTGTGCATTTCTAATGGTATTTCCTTTTTAGGTTGATGAATATTATAATTTTATGATTAAATTTATCAGGTTTATTATTTTAGACACATCATATGATGTCTGGTCCATGATATAGTCGTATAAAATATGTTAGCATATAATTTATCAAGTGTTAGAATATGGAATATATTTTTTTGTTTCAATATAGTTCTGTTTATCAGATAGAATGCTTGAACTCTGAGTGTTCTATTCTCATTTCTAATCTCAAAGTGACTGATGTAATCTAAGGGCATATCAACCCAGGATCAAAAAATATACTTATAAAACATGTGATTAACTAGTTTCTTCTAAGATTTTTAGAGAGTTTTATGATAAATGCAAAGAAAAAATAATCATATTTAGAGATCAAAAATACTTGATATTTGTAGTTTTCAATATATTAGAGTAAAAGTAAAATTATTTTCTAAGTAACGCTGAGTGAAGGTGGGACTCTGAGCTGCGCTTTAAATGATTGCAGATTTCCAGGTTGCTTTTTGGATTAGCTAAGTAGAAGAACTTCTACCCACTCTCTCCAGTGTGTCTCAGATAGGCTGTGAACAGTGACTTCTTGATGGTAAGGCTGAGTAGACAGGGCAAGCGTTTCATGTGGCCGAGAGTTTTTTGAAGAGAAAGACTCATACTCCTTGTGGTTTAAATAAAGGAGATGCATTAGTTAAACTGCCTGTATGTTTCTTTTTTATATATAAAATAATATTATTTTTTACACAGTTGCTAGCCTTTGATTTTTACACATTGGGATAAATCATTTTTTAAAAAAATTTTACGGGAATGATGATAAAGATAAAAATCTGACTGTATGTCCTTTTAAATTTATGTGTAAGAGGGATTTCTTGAAATTTGTTCAAACCAAATAGAATTATGTTTCCTATTTAAGAAATAACGTTAATAGAAGCTAAAACCATATTTATAGAAAATACCAGTAACACTGGCTTGATACAAGAATTCAGTCAAATTGAAGCAGCTGTCTGAAGATTTGTAGTGTTCTACTTGAATAGGACACTTTAAGATTCCTCTCACTCTTTTAACATCTCCAGATTTCTTTAAATGGCTAAGGAACAAAATAAAACATCTGTTTTTAGTGATTTAAAAACAAAACGACGGGTTTTGTTAATGTTTGTTTACAGTTTCCTATTCTTTCAAATATGTTTTATTATTTGATTTTAGAATAGTAAATGTCAGTAAAATTTTTTGACTCTAGTTTTGGGAGATTTTATATAGTCTGTCAGTAGAGGCAGCATTGTACCTTGATTTAGCGTAGTACACTACTAGTGTCTTCTCTGTGAAAGATTTTCATTGCTAACATGTTCCTGTCCTGCTTGACCTAATCATAGGACATTGTTATTTAGGGAGTAGTAAAAAAATGGAGCTCTTTTCTTCTAGATGCACTTCTTGAGATTTTTGTAACCTCAAAATAGAGTAAGAAATCTCATATTTGGAGAAGTGGCCCGAGTTCATCTAGGCATAAAGTAGTAAAGAACTTTGTGATTACATTTTAGTTTCTAGAAAGGTAGACCCTTCACTTTCTCATGTATTCCTGAGAATTTCTACTGAGCGATGAAATGTCAAATGTCCCAGGAAAATACTTTGGCTATTCTTGAAGAAAGGTTGAAGACGTACCCTTAATTTACCATTATAAAGGAAATTATAGACATTTATCCTGCTGACATTATCTGATGTGAATGGTCCAAGGAGTATGAAACTCAAACAGTTGGAAGTTGAAGCCCACTTTCTTAACCTTGCATTGTTGAAGTGGGGAGGGACGGGGTAGCTCTGCGGTGCAATGTTATTATTATCACATTTGTTTCATTCTATTTTGTTATTTGTTTCTTTCAGGAGTTTCTAGGGTAGGGGAAGTACAAGTAATAGTTCATATCTTTTTTGTTTGTTTATTTGAGAATTAATGAATAAATAGTTTTTAGAATGCAGATTAATGTTAAACTTCTGAAAATTTCAGAAATAAATAACCCTTCTTTGTACCTCAGCCCAGAGAGCATGGGACTTCTTGACCCAGCGACCAGCGATGGGCGAGTTATTTTCTTCTTACCCTGGCAAAAGATGACGATCGCTGGCACTACTGATACTCCAACTGATGTTACACCCCATCCAATTCCTTCAGAGGAAGATATCAACTTCATTTTGAATGAAGTGCGTAATTACCTGAGTTGTGATGTTGAAGGTAACTGAGCATTCCTTTAAGTTTGTCTCTCTGTGTCCATATCTCGCAAGCCATTCCAGCTCTCACTGGATAACTGCTATGTCTCCAGTCTGACTCATCTTCACACTTGTCCTCCTGTGCCTCTTAGAACATTTATGAGGGCCAAATTGTAACACAATGGAAAGAAATTGCCTTTTCTCCTCTACTTTCTATACCCACATGAAACTCATGCAGTCCTTTTCTAATAATTTCTAATGGCAAGATCAGAGTAGCCCCCTGTAGCTCTGAACACCCATGTGCTTCCAGAAAAGGATGAAATGTGTACATCACAGTTTAATTTCTACAGCTTAGGAAGGTCTGATTTACAGATGCAGGATATCGATAGGAAATAATTAAGCAAATAAACAAGAGGCTAGAACTGTATTTGTAAGATGCTTAATGGTCTGTTGCTACATGGAAAGTATAATGTTGACCAGTGGGTTTAGCAAAGAAGGATAAGTTACTTATTTTAATGGAAAAAGCCAAAGTTTACTTTCTTCCTGTTCTTACCGGGGCATTTCAACTTGACTGTCAGAGCATTTTCTTTGGTAATTTATATAGTTTTTATTTTTTTTTCATTCAGGCCAGTCTCAGAAGTTCCCCAACGTTGTGCTTCTATATTTCCTCTCTCAGTTGAGTCTCACCATGCATCTAGTCACTCAAACTAGAAATGGTGTGCTTATTTTTGGTATCCTTTCTCTTTCCATATCCAGTCTAATGCCTATCTATGCTCACTCTGAATACCAGGCAAGTCCCTCAGCCACTTCATTGCCCTGGTTCACATCTGTGCCATTTCTCACTTGAACAGTTGCACTGGCCCCTCAATGGCCTCTTTAGGTCAGTTCTCTATCCCTGTCCAGTCTAATCCTTCTACTAGAACTTTCTAAAACACAATTCTGATCATCACTTCTCTGCACAAAAATATGCTTTAGATATCTTCTCATTGACTTTAGGAAAAATGCTAAATTCTCTTGCATGAAACATAAGGCTTTTTGTTTTGTTTTGCTTTCTTTTGTTTGAGATGGAATCTTACTCTGTCACCTGGGTTGGAGTGCAACGGTGTGATCTTGGTTGACTGCAATCTCTGCCTCCCAGGTTCAAGCGATTCTTCTGCCTCAGCCTCCCAAGTAGCTGGGACTACAGGCACCTGCCACCATACCCAGCTAATTTTTTTTTTTTTAGTAGAGACAGGGGTTTCACCATGTTGCCCAGGCTGGTCTCAAACTCCTGACCTCAAGTGACCCACCTTGGCCTCCCAAAGTGCTGGGATTACAGAGTGAGCCACCGTGCCTGGACGAAACATAAGGCTTTTTACAACTTGTCTTTGCATATTTATATTCAACTACTCCCCATCCCTGAATTCTATATTCTTATTAGGGTGAATATTGTCTCAGTAGGTTTCATACCTTATTAGGTTGAACCTTCATGTCTAATTTAGGTTGAAGCTTTGCTTTGGGACACCCTTTTCCCCAACTCTTCATCTTGGCAAAATTTTTATACTTGAGAAATCACCTATTCTTTGTATTCCTGTGGGATGTTGATCATACTGTTTGTATATCACAACATTACATTATAGGTAATAGTCCAAGATGTATTCTCACTTGAAGCTCCTTGAGGGTAAGGATTCTTTATTTGTATTTAGCTACAAATCTTGGTATCTTATTCATATGCTACTCTTGATTGTTTTGGATTAAAGTAAGTTAGTTATGGATTCATGGTTTTTGATATGGTAGCCATTTGAAAATCTATATTAAAGTACACAAGTTTACGATTAAAAATAATCATCATATATTTATATCAGAAATCTTATAATGTTGATATCAGTGAAGGACATGGAAAAATGCTACTTTAGTCTGAATGCCACTCACTAACATCTGTGTATCGTTTTTCCCTAAAGAATTTTTTTTTTATGTGATCATGCATTTGTAAACAAAACAAACTGCTTCAAAAATGGTTCAAGTGACACCTAGTTTAATTGATGAATCCATGCTGTATAGTATTAGTTGCTTTTAATCTAAAGTAATAGATGTAACTTCATTCTTAATAGAGTCCCTTTGGATATCTACAATAATAGTGTAAAATACACTAAATACATATCATTGAAATCCATGTGTGGTTAAGGTTTATACTCACACACATACACACTCATACATGGTATTTGAAAAATAGTTAGATTTGTTTAACATCCGTGTTTAAATACTGAAACTGCATTGCAATTTTAGTTTGGTACTTTTTTTTTATTTTGTGTTCTAGGAGGAGCTTCAACATTGGATTATGATTATATTTTAACATATTTATTGTTAATGAATCTTGCTTCATTTGTAATTTATCTGTTTTTAATATTTGTTGAAACTGGGTTTATATCTGGGCCTGAAGATCAGGAAGTTTAGATTGTTGGAGCAAGATATAAAATTAATTCAAGAGCAGAGAACTCAATGTTGACAGTTTCCAAAATCTTAAAGTTCAAATGCAGCGAGGATGAGAAATGTAACTCCCTATCCTGCTAAGAAGCTGGATGTGCTGGAAGCAGGTGTGGGTTCCAGAAGGCTGCCGTGCCCATATTGTGGGTGGGGATCTCTACCCGTGAAGTGAGCGTGGGGCTTTAACGGAGACTGGATCACTTATGTTCTACCTATAAATACATGGAAGACTTGGCATACCTGGTTGGTCCATAAAAGTCTTTTCAATTAACATACCATTTTGTAGTCAGCGAATTGGTGAAACTAACAAACAGTTATTGTTAATTCTGATGTTTGATAAGAGTGTTTGAAATTAATATCTAAACATTGCAAATCAGGTCTTTCTCCTGGATATCTGGGGACCTCTTTAGATTAAGAGTCCTCCAGGGTAAAAGCAGACATGACAGCCCTTTCCTAGACTTTATTGATTTCCCTGTGTGCAGCACCTGTCACACCTTTTATACTTATAAACTTATTTTTCAAAAAATAATTAACAATGATTCTTAATAGCTTCTTTTCATTCTTATTTCTAATTGACTGAAGGATTCATATTTGAAGAATTACACTTGGTCTTAATAAAAAGTATCAATTAGCTGAAGTGTGTCTATATCTTAAAGTGAGGCCAGTCAAATCCATATTTTTTCTCAAGGAATTTTGGTGAAAGCTGCTATTCTCTTCTAGACTGATCAAACGTGAAAGAGAAGCTCAGCTTCAGGCACCATTCAGTTATTCAATTACATGCTACTGCTAAAGATATTTTAATTCACGGTTATATGCCTCATTTTAAAAAACTTTTCCTATTATTAAGCACTTCTTATGTGAGACCCTGCTAAGCAAGTATATTACCTGTTAGATCTTTGATTCCTCATTAACAACCCTATGAGATTTATTTACTAAGTCCTACTTTCTAGTTGAAGAAACTGAGGCCCAGTGACGTTAAGCTTTTTTTTTTTTTTTTTTTGAGACACAGTCTCACTCTAGCTCAGGCTGGAGTATGGTGGTATGATCTCAGCTCACTGCAACTTCCGCCTCCTGCGTTTAAACAATTCTCCTGCCTCAGCCTCCTGAGTAGCTGGGATTACAGGTGTGCGCCACCACACCCGGCTAATTTTTGTATTTTTAGTAGAGACTAGGTTTCACCATGTAGGTCAAGCTGGTCTCGAACTCCTGACCTCTTGATACACCCGCCTTGGCCTCCCAAGTTCTGGGATTACAGGCATGAGCCACCGCGCCCAGCCTAAGCTTTTTGCCTATAGCTAGTTAGTACTGGAGCCATAATTGAGTATAAGTAAATCTGGTTCTAATACTTGTGCTTCTCAATATTGTGTAGTACTCTGATTGTTGGTTCTGGGTTTCCTGATGGAATACTGTGTGCACTAGGGAGTGGTAAGCTTATCAGTTCATTTCATGGAAGCTGCTAGATACCTTTAGCATGACAATGACCTTTGCTCTCCACTGACCTTATTTGAATTTGAATGTTAAACTAGAGGAGGTTTCCTGTCTCATAACTAATCCCTTGGGCCAGTCTTCTTTACAGATTTAAAATATAAAGTTTGATTTAGATCCTAGAGCAATAGTTTTGAAATGTTTTATATTCACCAGGGTTGAAATAATCATTCTAAAAGGATTTATTAAATGGGTAAGTAAAATTCCAGCAACAGTTTCTGAGCCTCCCCAAATGGCTATATCCTTAAGAAAAAAAAAAGTGTCAAATCTTAACACTCCATGCTATTCACAGCAGCTGCCACACTTCTGCAAAATGCGTCGGAACAATTCCGAAAAGCATTTTGCCTGTTGGGAATGAGACCATGTCTTCTTTTACAATTTAGAAAGCTTTCCATTCACAGGCTGAATTTTCTAGATTACTTGTTTGTTCTTTTCTGAAATGGGTAATTGATAGTTCTGTGTTTCGTATTGAGTTAGGAAGAAAAATGATCTTTTGAAAAATGTATCATTAAGTCTGCTGTGTAGAGGTTAATCAGAAGGATGCAGTGACAAAACTAAGCTATGACTTAACAGAATTGAGAGAGACAGAAGATTTGCTGAGTGCTTTATCCATGTAGTTTTTCCTGGTGTGCTTCTTTAGGCAGCTTCTCTACTTGTACACAGGTTTTCACACAGGCAATTAGTAGTGTTTATAGATTGCCTGTTATTCAATTAACAACTGAGCTGGCCATATCAACTCACTGCAGACCTGCCTTTTCACTGCCAGAGATTGTACCAGGGTTATCAACTTACACAGGCTTGGATGTCTTCCAGCTGTTTAATTATAGTGTCACACGCTTTGCTTTTTCTAGTTTCATTAGTTTATAAATGTAATATGGTATCTTATTTCTGTGATTAACACTTCATTTCAGCAGGTTAAACATGCTGGTAGAGAAGTATTGATTTCTGACACTATTTCCCCTGTGTTCATTTAGATATTTTCACATGCCTTTTATTGATTCTTTTTTGAAAGTGGCAAACATGAAAAAAAAAAAACACCCCAAAACATATGCCTAAATAACTAATGTGAAGCTAAAC